CTCCAAGGGTCACCAAACTTTTTTCACAGCGGGCCGGATAAAAGACAAAATGACCAGCACGGGTCGTATACTTTAATTTTACCAGTGACAGACTGTGATAATGTGATCTGTACGTCCAATCCATATAAATTAATAGCGATGGCAAATAGACGCTTGCAAAACAGAGGGACCGTAGGTTACAATATAAATGTCAGTCATCTATTTTTAAAAGTTAACTTTTTTGGACGCGAGCTTAACTCGATCCTACTAGGCACTGGGGTGCGAGCAGTAATTGTTTGCATTATATATACTTTATGTTTATTTATTTTCCATTATAATACTGCATTGTACGATTTTCAGATGATATTTTACGATTTTAGGAGGTCCAGGGTAAACAGGTCTGCACTAAACAAGAAAATCTAGGTACAATAATTTAAAATTGAAAATGATAAATTTAAGGCGCATAGAAGCTCGTGTGAAGATCTCCTACTATTCTAAACATAATATTTAAATATAATTGTATCACAAAGTCTCGTGTCCCATACGTTTTATCAAGCAAATTCAAGTACCGTCGGCGGGCCGGGTGAACAGACGTCTCGGGCCGGATCCGGCCCTCGGGCCGCAGTTTGGTAACCCCCTGTCTAACTCGAAGCTACTTTAATCGGTTGAATCGTCTTCGGGGCCCGAGCTGTCGTCATTGCTGTTTTGGCGGAGCAGACAGCAGTCCACTTGCTAGCAGAGTGAGCCATACTAATGGGTCGCGGGTTTATGCACACCACCAGAAGACCACTTTGAAATGACGATCTAAAGCAAAGCCCAGGCGATGCCCCGCCGAGGGATCGATCGTTAGGTGCGTGTCAGGTCCAAGAAATTAAATGTAACATTTGCAGCAAAGGGAGAGGGTCACGGAGGGAGCGGTCCGTCTCAGGCGGTACTTTTGTCTTTTAGATAGAGTAGGGGGTGGGGGGGGGGATTTTCCGGGACGTGTTTTTTCTTAAAACAAGAGAGGCAGAAATGTTGCCTCCTCCAACCCCTCAACTGGGCAGCTCTAACTGTAGCTTTCTCAAGAGCAGATAATAATCATATTGCATTGAACAGAACAGAAAATTGACATATTGAATTGAAAAAGGACAGAAAATTGACATATTGAATTGAAAAAGGACAGAAATTGACATAATGCACTGACCAGAACAGAAAGTGTATCTATGCATTGAACAGAAAAGATAATTGACCTACTCCATTGAACAGAAAAGAAAATGAACATGCTGCATTCAAGATATGGACTGTCACTTAGTTTATTGATCATATTTCATTGATCGTAACTGCCACATATCGCACGAATAAATTACATGTTCACTCTCATTTCATTAGGATTCAATGTGTTATTAATAAAGACATTATTGATCGTAAGATATTGATTGATTTGAGGCGCAATGAAAGGGGATAACGACAGAGGCGTAACTAATAAGAGGCCGGAGTGAGGGTTCCAATTTAAGGTGAACATTTGTTGCAATATTTTTTTCTAGATTTTTCTAAGTCCTTGCTTTTTATATTTGTAAGCTTGAAATGATGAGGAAAATGATCTAGATTAGCTGCGAATCCAAACTTGAAAAAAAAAATTAGTTAGGACTGATTGGAAGGAAGTGGTGAAACATCCCAAAGCCCTACACGGGCTGTAGCGCCACAAGGATGGATGGAAGGTCTTCGTGTAAGGAAGTAGTGAGACATGCCAAAGCCCTACACGGGCTGTAGCGCCACAAGGATGGATGGAAGGTCTTCGTGGAAGGAAGTAGTGAGACATGCCAAAGCCCTACACGGGCTGTAGCGCCACAAGGATGGATGGAAGGTCTTCGTAGAAGGAAGTAGTGGGACATGCAAAAGCCCCACACGGGCTGTAGTGCCAAGACGTTGGATGGGTGTACACTTAAAATGCGTTTAAACTTTAAAACCATGTAGTCATTCAACGTCTTACAAAACCCAAGGTGAATAGTACACGCCAAAATGAGCCTGTCGGCGTCTACGCTCGTTAATTGTGGCGTGGCGTTTAAAAAACTCATTCACATCGATCCCTTGCGATCATATAAATTTCTGTTCTCGTACGATAGACATCTTTTTCCCATATTTTAACACTGATGTTTGCATGCTTCAACATCCGAGTGAAGGGGGTGGGGGGTTCAGTCCGGGCTTACCTGACTCACGATAGGTAAAATATAAAGGAATTGAAATATTTTTAAAAATTAACTACTCTTGCCTTGCAAACCAATATCAATTATTCCGAACTAACTCTTGCCCTTAATTCATTTTTTTTTTTTTTTTTTTTTTTTTCTTTTTCATTTTCTTGGGCTAANATCTTTTATAAACTGTACTGTCAAACAATGAGGGGTGGACCTGAAAATTTGACCTAACATGCATACAAGTGACGCACTTAATAAGAATCCCAGTTAGTGCTCTCAACCCCTCCCCCCCCCCCTTTTTTTTCCCCCTTAAACCAGGCTTAGGCTCGAAACCGCTGTTTTTTTTTATTGTATATTGACCAGCTTTTACACCGCAGATTGATTTCATCAACAACTTCAGACCAACACTAGACTCTATGACGCCGCAACAAACGCTCTTGAGATACGTTTTATTTTAAAATTATTATTTTTTTTTAAAGATTCTCATTTAGTGCAGCTATCGGGAACTTTATTTCATGAAATCAGCGTCATACTATCGCCTTCATTTTCCCTTTGAAAAACAGGGAAACGGAAAAAAAGAGGGGGGGCGGGGGGGTGGACTGATTATTTGACAGAATGTGTTGTCATCCGCATCGAGTCTATGTGCCAATTTTCGGCTCGATAGCTTGACGGGAAGTGGGTCAATTAGCCGTCAGGAGATTTTTGCCCGGCCAACCAGCACGAACAAAAAGGCGAAGTGAGCATACAGGATTTACAAATTCACAAGTCAAATTACTTTTGTATAGTAAATTTTTCATTGATTCAAACGGCGGAAGAGTTGCTTTGGACGAGGTTAGGGGCTACAATCAGATGATTTGTTTTCTTGTTTTTTTTTTTAAAATAACGATAATATCCTGAATGATAGTGTGGTCTCTTGGAATATTTTTAAAACTATATTTTTTATGCTTTGAAAAGCTGAATTTTAAATGATAAAAATGTGAAATAATGTATACTGTTTACAAAGATATTTACATCATATATATATATATATAAAAGTGAAAGTTTGTGGGTTTCTTTGTGGGTCTGTTTGTTCCACAAAGACTTTTACATGGATTGATGGATCTTCACCAAACTTGGCATATACATCCATCATTATCCAGAAGGAACTCTTAAGGGGTTATGAACTTTTTATAACATTTCGTTTGGGGCCGGGGGCCCAAAATGTCGTATTTTCCAATATGAGCTATATAAAAATAATTAGAAACAAAGACTCCCACACGAAAGGATGGTGATCTTGACCAAACTTAGTTCACATACACTTAATTATCCATTTTTAAATACCGAAGGGTACTGAACTCATAATATCCATTCTTTTGGGGCAGGGGGCCCAATTTCATTTTTCCTTATATAAGCTTTATAAATATCAATAGGCTGAATACTCCTAGATGAAAAGATGTATCTTGACCAAACTTAGTTCACATACACTTAATTATCCATATTTAAATACCGTAGGGTACTGAACTCATAATATCCATTCTTTTGGGGCAGGGGGCCCAATTTCATTTTTCCCTATATAAGCTTTATAAATATCAATAGGCTGAATACTCCTAGATGAAAAGATGCATCTTGACCAAACTTAGTTCACATACACTTAATTATCCATATTTAAATACCGTAGGGTACTGAACTCATAATATCCATTCTTCTGGGGCCGGGGGTCCCGTTTCTTTTTTTAAAGTAGATTTTAATGGGAAAAATTTTAAATTTTAATGCTATTATTTATCCGTCTCATATTTATAGGGCCCCCTATCTCAGGCAAAGCTAAATCGGTACAGTTGTGTAATGGGCCCCACAGGGCCCCATGATTAACTTAAAAGAAAAGAATTATAATCATGGTATTTGTTGAAGATTTTGATCGTATTCAAAAAATAATTAGAAAAGTAGTTTTTCGCATGTTTATAGCACGTTATTAAATTTAATCTAGAATGTTCCAGAAAGTTCTAAATTGTTCCACTGGGATATATAGTGGGATCTAAGGTATTATTGAAATTTTAGTTAGTTATATTCATTTCTATACTTTCCCGGAGGTTACTGTTCTCTCAGTAACACTGAGTAATTCTTTTTTATACGAGATCCCAAAGGGTTCGGGATCCCATCATAATCTTTAAACCAAAAAATGGGATTAGGTTTCCAAAGGGATCGGGCGTCACACAAGGATGGGGTCCTAATGCAATCCCGTGCGACGCCGGGTATATTGGCTAGTAATATATAAAATGTATTTTAGTTTTAAAAGGAAAAAAGACAATTATTACTAGCAAAGAATGGAGTGGTTGATACCGTACCCTATTTCTCGCCGTAATCCGCCACTGACAAAGCATGAGAACGTCGTATCTCCCCCCCCCCCCCCCCACAACACCCCCCCACCCCCCCCCCCCCCCCCCCCCCCCCATTAGTTTTAAAAGGAAAAAAGGCAATCATTACCAGCAAAGAATGGAGTGGTTGATACCGTACCCTATTTCTCGCCGTAATCCGCCCCTGACAAAGCATGAGAACGTCGTATCTCCCCCCCCCCCCACAACTACCCCCACCCCTCTTTTCTCCCCCTCCCCTCTTCTCTATTAGTTGATCTGTTATATGGGGAAAAGTTTCTTCCTATCGCTTGTAACGGGTATCAAAACCTACTTCTCCATTCAATCCCTTCGCCCAGCCGTTCAGAGCTGGTATCGATTCAACCTGGTGATCCATAGATCCAGCGACTCGTGACCGCAGCGCCGCACTTGCCACTCCACCCCCTCCCCCTCCCACACTTCTCACTACGTTATAATACCCTCAACCAGACGTAAATAAACCGGCGGACTGGTTTAGAGAGTAAATTCTCATTTGGTGGGTTCTCTCCCCCAGGTCGACTTGGGTAGATTGGAAAGTTCACAAGGAGAATGATTCGTGGACATGCTAAAAGTATATTACCATTTCCTTATTTTGCAGTGTGGAACAGAGTGACGGAGGCTTACCATGGTCGAGCAGGTGTGTTGGATAAGCTATATCCTTTTAACTGATGTGTTGGAGTGCTCTAACCGCTATTGGCTACGGTTGTGCTGGTGTGTTGGATACTCTAACCGCCATGGCTATGGCTGTGTTGGTGTGTTAGTAGAAACTAACCATTACGGTTGTGCTGGTGTGTTAAGTACTCTAACCGCCATGGCTATGGCTGTGTTGGGGTGTTAGTGGAAACACACCATCATTGCCTTGTGTAGTTTAAACAGCTGTGTTTTATATTGACTAGTCAACATTTTTATATTCGCTTGTCAATATGTTTTTTCATGAACTCTAATTTGGTGTGCTAGTCAGGAATATATACGTATATTTTACGTGACTGTTGTGTATTGACAATTTCATTCATTTGATACCTTAACAGAACGTGTTGGTAGAACTAGATGATGATTCAGGGGACGGCCCATGTTCGTATTGATAGTGTAATAGAAGACCTTGACCTTGGTGTCTTGATAGTTCAAAAGGTCGTTTTAGTGCAGCGGATCTCAACCTGTTAGTCGCGACCCCCTCCCCCCTTTTTTTAGGGGTGGGGGGGGGTCGAACGACTCTTACACCGGAGTCACCGAAGACCATCGGAAAACAAATATTTATGAAGTAACAACGAATATCATTTTTATGGTGGGTGGGGGGGGGGCGGGACACCCCTACATGAGGAACTGTATTAAAAGGTTGCGGTATTAGGAAGGTTGAGAACCACTGTTTAGTGTGTTGATAGTTTGATTGAAGAACTTGGTGTGTTGATAATTCAAACCATCGTTTTAGTAGGTCAATCACTTCTACCCTATAAGACGCGTAAGTGTGCTCCTCTAAGTACAACTTGGCCTGATTAGGTTGAATGACCGACAAGCAGGCGGTTGTAATGTTATATTAGCAACACAACAAGGCTAAAGTTTTTATCATTTTTATTTTGTTTGTTTTCGTTTGGCTTTTGTGGAGCGCAGCCGATATATCAACCATTGAGAACTGTAAGGACAGACACATTGATTTAAGGCAGTGGTTCTCAACCTTCCTAATGCCGCGACCCTTTAATACAGCTCCTCACGTTGTCCCAACCATAAAATTCTTTTCGTTGCTACTTCATAAAATATGTGTTTGTCCGATGGTCCCTGTGGGTCGTTCGACCCTCAACGGCGTCTCGATCGACTGGTTGAGAACCGCTGATTTAAGGGATACATTATTACTTGAGCTAACACAGCGATTTTCAGAAAGTTAGATTACGCCTACATATTTTGCATTTGCATTCAGATTATTTGAATGTAATGGTTATTATTAGTCAGTTTACTTCCCATTAATGTATACATATATAATAACTGAAGGACTGCATTCAAGCTATGTGAATGAAATATACCTTCAACATACCGGTACCTTGATTTACTTATTGCATTCCCAGCAATAGCAGTTGTAATTGTGGATTAGGTATCACATTGAGAATGCTGATTAAATCTCCTAAATGTTGATGGCGAGGCATTTCAGTCTTTTATAGTTAAGTCGGTCAGCTGGTCGGTCTGTCGTTATGTAGGTCAGTCAGCCGATCGATATTACTTGACCAGCCATGCCGTTAGATCATTTAGGCATATGTTAGGTCACACAGTCAGTCAGTCAACCATTTCTTTAGGTCACACAGTCAGTTAGTCAACCATTTCTTTAGGTCACACAGTCAGTTAGTCAACCATTTCTTTAGGTCACACAGTCAGTCAGTCAACCATTTCTTTAGGTCACACAGTCAGTCAGTCAACCATTTCTTTAGGTCACACAGTCAGTTAGTCAACAATTTCTTTAGGTCACACAGTCAGTTAGTACCATTTATTTAGTTCACTCAGTCAGTCGACCATTTATTTAGGTCATCCATTCAGCTATTGGGATGTCAGTTAATCAACCATTTATTTAGGTCTTACAGTCAGTTTGCTATTGGGATGTCAGTTAGTTAACCATTACTCTAGGTCATACAGTCAGTTAGTTAACCATTACTCTAGGTCAGGGGTCGGAAACCTTTTTGTCTGAGAGAGCCATGGACACCACATATTTTGAAAAGTAATTCTGTGAGAGTCATACATTATGTTTAAAACTAAAAATTCAAGTAAATGTGTGCATATTGTGTAATTTCGACACTAAAAATGCAAACATTATGTCACTGAATTCCTTTTAATAACATTGTTATGCTGTTGCTAATCAATAATGAGTATTTCTTTCCATCAAAGCGACTTTTTTTTTTATAATCGAACATCGGTCTGCGAGCCAAATGCAGCCATCATCATAGGTTCCCGACCCCTGCTCTAGGTCATACAGTCAGTAATATGTATGATCCACTGCTTTCCACACACTCTCCACCTTTTTCTATCCTATCTCCGCTAGTTCCCCCCTCTCTCTTTCTTCTTTCTTTCTTCTCGCACTATTTATTTAGCTCTGACTTTTCCTCCTATCTCCTAATGTTTTCTCTTTTCTCATTTGATAGAAAATTTAGTTTTCTTTGACCTTGTATCATTTTCTAGCTCTCTCTCACTCTCAATCCCTACTGCTCACGCTCTCTGGCTGTTTCAAATCATCTCAATCTCTCTCACTCTATTTCATTTTCTCTCTCATTCACCCTCTCTTTCAGTCTCTCTCTTACTATCTCTCTCTTTCTCTCTCTGTCTCTCTCTAGCCCCTTCTACCTCATTCTATCTAAATCAGTCTCTCTCACCCTTTGTCACTTCCCCTCTCTTATTCTCTTTTACTTTATCTCACTATCTCTCAATCTCCCTCACACTCTTTCTCTATCCCTCTCTGTCTCTCATTTTCTCTCAAACATTTGGACTCAAATTTTACCTGTTTTTTTATCCTCCTCCACCCCCCCCCAACCAGAGACCATGATCAAGTTTAAAAAGCAGCTGTCGCCATGGAAAGAGAAGTCTGCGACAGTTTACCTGGCGGTTGTTTCCCTTTGCCTCAACGCCGTCCTGCTTTTCTTAGCGAGTGACGTCATCACGTACGGCGGGTTCTTCGCAGACGAAGGCAAAAGAACTCTCCACCAGACGAAAGACATGGTGGCTGACCTTGTCCACGGCCTTGACCTCAGCTCCTTCGACACCCCGAAGTCTTCACTGTTTCATACAGTTCTAGAATGCGTCCTTGACCCAATCAAAAATGAGCCCACGGTGGCCGAGGAGGAAAACACCAACAGCTCAGCGCCGAGCCTCTCCATCCTCCACCTTCTGAGCGTCCCCACCCTCCACAAACTGAACGCACGGCTCCAGTCCCAAGCCGAGGCCAAAAGCTCCGTGATTTCATTTCTCTTGCAGCCAATCACCAACGAGCACAACTTTCAGTACGTCCACAATCCCAGCCACGCATGTGCACACGGGAAAACGGATGTTCTTTTCGTCGTGCCGTCTGCGCCTGACAACTTCGACAACCGGATCAAGACGAGGACCGGGAAAAAGGGCGAGTACGTGGGGCACAAGGGCCACAACGCCAAGATGGTCTTCTTCCTCGGCCTGCCGGCCAGCGAAAAGGGCGCAAAGATCCAGACCCTGATCGACATAGAGGCGGGGCTCTACGGCGACATCGTCCAGGAGACGTTCGAGGACGTCTACGCGAACATTCGCCACAAGTCCGTCTCCATGCTCAAGTGGGCCAGCACGTTCTGCCAGCAGGCGACCTACGTCATCCGGACGGACGACGACGTCATGGTGGACATCCCGAAGGTGTACGCGGTGATGAGGCGGAAACACCAGCAGTTCACGGACTTCATCGTGGGTGACCGGAAGGACAACTGGGAGCCCGTGCGCGAGACGGACAGCAAGTACTACTTGTCCGAGCAGGAGTACGCGCCCTCTACCCTCCCGCCCTTTGCGCTGGGGGGCTTACTGGGCTTCCCGATCAGTACTGTGTCGCTTTTGTACCAGGCGGCGCTGAGGACGAAACCGATCTGGCTGGACGATGTGTACATCACCGGGATGTGCGCGCGCAACGTAGATGTCCCGTTGTTGAAGGATAAAGATTTTAAGTTTAAACATAGAGAATGGTAGCACGGTTGTGTATAGGGGGAAAAACCGATTTTGTGGGTGGGCTGGGGGATTGATTTAGATTATGAGTTGAAATGTTTTAAAGCCCCTTTTCCCAAAAATTGAAATTTTGTGGACCGGTCGACACGTCTTGAAACGGCACCACGGACCCGTGCCAGATTTTTTAGTTACAATTTGTATTTGTGTTACAAATAGTCATATCGTGCGGACCGGCAAACTCAAGGCTCACGCACCACCATTTGGGAAACGCACCACCATTTGGGCAACGCACCACCATTTGGGCAACACACCATCATTTGGGCAACGCACCACCATTTTGGGCAACGCACCACCATTTTGGGCAACGCACCACCATTTTGGGCAACGCTGTTCTAACGAAACAAATATGTAAGGCATAATAAAGACGCGTCACAGTTTTTAATCATGTGAATAAACGAATTATTTAAAGATTTACGTTTAAAAATGTTTATTTTTGTAACTAATTAAAAAAAAAAAAGACTGTGACAGTATCGTGAAGGGCACATGAATCCTGACTACATATTCTCAAAAGATTCACTAATCATTTCTCAAAGTTCTGCTACAGTTTCAAAATATTCGCTGCCGTTTCTCATAGCTCCGCTATAACTCCTCAAAGACTAAAAACCAGACGATTATTCAAAGCGTCTTTTGACTGAAAAGCTAATTTTTTTTCTTAAACATACAATCCTATCAAAATGATGTGAAATATGTGGCGCCTTCGCATACACTTTGTAATATAATTCATCGGCATATAATAAATAATAATGCACTGACCAGTGTCTGATGGATTCACCAGCTTTAGTAAATAATGATTCACCAACCACTGCAAGACCGATTCACCAATAAAGAAAGTCAGCCATCCACGAAAGGTGCCATGCTTGTAACTTTATTTCAAATTTTTCGAAGATTGCTCAAAGTCATCAGTGCCCTATTATATAAATCACTGACCTCAAGGGCATGAGTGCCCTAAATAAAACATAACAAGAACACCTGACCACCATTGTTACACAAATATGCACTGTTTGTATCTGAGTATATTATATGAAGGATCTCACACAACGATATTTTGATACTGTGAATTCCCTCAACCAAATCCCATGGTTTTGTTTAGCTATTTTAACATATACAAAGCCATTATGATCTCAAAATATTGATCTTACAGCATTGATTCCCGATACTCTTGTCATCCCGGCCCACTAATGTTTTATGAAATCATTATGTATCCCATTTTTTAATACTTCTTTTTTTTTTTTACTTTTTGCCATAAATTGTCATTTTAATTTTTGCCATAAATTGTCTTTTTAATTTTTTGACAATTTTTTTTTTTCATCATTTTAATGAAGACAATTATTTTCAAGTCGTTTTTAAAATTAGTTTTTTGATTATATATTTTTTGACTTTGCCACATTACCTTCTTTGTTCTTGCAAAGTCTGTCCCAATGTTGCTCTGACCTATGCCCCAATGTATTTATGGCATTAATTCTACTATATTATTTTGATCAGTCTCCTAGTTTTAGTGCCAAGAGTTTAATGGCCTACTTGTTAAAGGCATTTGTTACATTTTATGTGTGTAGATTTTGGAGCCATTCCATCACATTTTTAAGGGCATCAATGTACCATGTTCTGCCCCAGACTTACCATTGTCAGGGCATTAAGGTAACGTTTTGTCCCAGAATTTACATTGTAAGTGCATTATGTATCATGTTCTGTCCAAGACTTTACACTGTCATGACATCTTAGTACCATGTTCTGTCCAGGACTTTCATTGCCAGGGCATCTTAGTACTATGTTCTGTCCAGGACTTTACATTGTCAGGGCATCTTAGTACCATGTTCTGCCCCCAGAATCTATATTGTCATGGCAGCTATGCCCAAGACTTTACATTAAAAACATGAAATGATATGTCAAGGCATTCGTAAATGCATTAATGTTTTCATCATTTTGATATATATTATTATTTTTTTTAAATTTATATTAATAATTTTCTTAACAATAAAATAAATAGTTCATTTATTAAATTTATTAGATGTTACTCTGATGATATTTTACTATGTAAGTATAACAAAATATAAAGTGGTTTTTATTACTTTGAAAATCTTCCTCTGATAAACAATTAAGGTATTGTAAAGGGCGGTTGAATGTTTTCAAAAATGTATTTGACATAAGATATTAACAAAGAGCAACAATTTTTGATGGACTGTTACCTTAATCCTGGTTACTAGGTAATTTGCATTGATAAATTGTTACTTTAGCACGTATTCTAAGATAAAATATTACTTTGATATTAGTTCTAAGATAAAGTGTTAATTTGGCATAATTTATAAGAAGAACATTTACTTTGGCCTAATTTCTAAGCTAAAATGTTACTTTGGCATGATTTCTGAGATGAATTGTCAATTTAACATCATTTCTGAGATAAATTGTCACTTTAACATGATTTCTGAAATAAATTGTCAATTTATTAACATGATTTCTGAGATAAACTGTTACCTCCACGATAACCATCTTCATAACTAAAGTATGACAAGGGAAGCTACTTTGATTTACAGATATTTCCACCTCAAGTCTCCATAGAGAGTTATTGCTCAACTTAGCGCTTTTGTCTGTGTCAACGATGTGCTTTTGTCTGTCTCCACGTTGTGCTTTTGTCTATCTTAGCGTAGTGCTCTTGTCTGTCTCAAAGTCGTGCCTTTGTCTGTCTCAGCATTGTGCTTTTGTCTGTCCCAAAAGTGTGCTTTTGTCTGTCTCCACGTTGTGCTTTTGTCTGTCTTAGCGTAGTGCTCTTGTCTGTCTCAAAGTCGTGCCTTTGTCTGTCTCAGCATTGTGCTTTTGACTGTCTCAAAGTTGTGCTTTTGTCTGTCTCAAAGTTGTGCTTTTGCCTGTCTTAGCGTAGTGCTTTTGTCTGTCTCAAAGTCGTGCCTTTGTCTGTCTCAGCATTGTGCTTTTGTCTGTCTCAAAGTTGTGCTTTTGTCTGTCTCAAAGTTGGGCCTTTGTCTGTCTCAGCCTTGTGCTTTTGTCTGCCTCAGCGTTGTGCTTTTGTCTGTCTCAACGTTGTGCTTTTGTCTGTCTCAGCATTGTGCTTTTGTCTGTCTCAAAGTTGTGCTTTTGTCTGTCTCAAAGTCGTGCCTTTGTCTGTCTCAGCATTGTGCTTTTGTCTGTCCCAAAAGTGTGCTTTTGTCTGTCTCCACGTTGTGCTTTTGTCTGTCTTAGCGTAGTGCTCTTGTCTGTCTCAAAGTCGTGCCTTTGTCTGTCTCAGCATTGTGCTTTTGACTGTCTCAAAGTTGTGCTTTTGTCTGTCTCAAAGTTGTGCTTTTGCCTGTCTTAGCGTAGTGCTTTTGTCTGTCTCAAAGTCGTGCCTTTGTCTGTCTCAGCATTGTGCTTTTGTCTGTCTCAAAGTTGTGCTTTTGTCTGTCTCAAAGTTGGGCCTTTGTCTGTCTCAGCCTTGTGCTTTTGTCTGCCTCAGCGTTGTGCTTTTGTCTGTCTCAACGTTGTGCTTTTGTCTGTCTCAGCATTGTGCTTTTGTCTGTCTCAAAGTTGTGCTTTTGTCTGTCTCAAAGTCGTGCCTTTGTCTGTCTCAGCCTTGTGCTTTTGTCTGCCTCAGCGTTGTGCTTTTGTCTGTCTCAACGTTGTGCCTTTGTCTGCCTCAACGCCTGGATAGACAAAATATAAATCATAGAGAGAAGCTGACCACTACTAAGTTAAGCTAAATTGTGTTACGTCAGGACCGGAGGCCCTGCTCCGTAACAACCGTTCCGTGACACCAGATACTAGAATGAAGAAACCCGCACACAAAGGACAACAAACAGTGTTTGGAATGTTACACTCATATCAGGCAAAGTACAGTGTTTGGAATGTTACACTCATATCAGCCAACTTACAGTGTTTGGAATGTTACACTCATATCAGCCGACTCACAGTGTTTGGAATGTTACAGAGATATCATCGTTTATCTCTGTTTGACAACCAGCCTGGACAAATACTGACCTGCTGGAATGAGGGGGGGGGGAGGGGAGGGGAGTCTGTCTGTGCGGGTGAGGTGATGCGGTGGCGCTCCCTTCTATTGACTATATGAGTTATCTTATCAGCGCCGACAGACCGGACAAAAGAGATGTGAGTGGCGTAATGGGTTATGGAAAAGGATTGTAGTTGTCCCAGTAGGTCATGGGTGAGGAATGGGATTATCCCAATAGGTCATGGGTGAGTAATGGGATTGTCCCAATAGGTCGTAATGAGGAATGTGGTTGTCCAAATAGGTCATGACCAAAGAATGCGATTGTCCCAATAAGTCATGGGTGAAAAATGGGATTATCCCAATAGGTCATGGGTGAGTAATGGGATTGTCCCAATAGGTCGTAATGAGGAATGTCGTTGTCCAAATAAGTCATGACCAAAGAATGTGATTGTCCCAATAAGTCATGGGTAAAAAATGAGGTTGTCCCAAAAAATAATGGTTCAAGAATGTCGTCGTCTAAATAAGACATGGATGAGAAATGTGATTGTCCCAATAGGTTGTTGGGAGAGACATTGTGATTGTCCCAACAGGTCATGAACGAGGTATGCGATCGTCCAGTCAGGAGATACGAGAGGAATGTGAGTGACCTAACAGGTCTTGGTGTGGATGGCTAACTTCCCCCTGTGAGAGCTTCCATGAAACTCCACTCATAATTTAAACATAAAGCATTAAAACCGAGATTCATTAAAAATTATTTCTCCTCTTTTGTCCCTTCTTTTCCTCGTAATTTTTAAATATTTGTTAATCCGATGTTTCATTGCTCAAAACTAAATAGTTATTCATTGGATGTTCCATTGCTCAACACTAAATAGTTGTTCATTGGATGTTCCATTGCTCAACACTAAATAGTTGTTCATTGGATGTTCCATTGCTCAACACTAAATAGTTGTTCATTGGATGTTCCATCGTTCAGATTCAAGATTATTTGCAATTTGTAAAATATTCTTTGACAACCCATTCCGAGATTCTTACAACGAAACATTATCACCCAAGCACAATGACACAAACACACACTCACACGCCGACACAAACACATACACATTCACACCAGCAAACGTCCGCCTCAGTACCTGAATAGAGCCCCAGGTTATAAAAAAAACAACAACTGAGATCTTCCATCTCAACTATACGTGACGCCTGGCTAGAGATCAGGGGAGTGTCAGGAGCTGTGATGCCCGGGGGTTAGGCCTTGAGTTAGCAGCCACTTAAGCACGGCAATCAAGTAGCGTGTAGAAGAAGGCATATCAAACATATCAAAACGTTGTTTTAATCTTCTTTATATTAATTTTACTTTGCTCCGCGTGTTTAAGGAAACATATTCGGACGGATAATAGACCCACTTTATGTCAAGCTATCGAGCGGAAACTTGAGATATAGACTCGTTGCCGGTGACAACATATTCTTTCAAATTTTCATATTCATCCTTCCAAACCTAATCTCCGAAAATCAGTTTTACTGGGTTTGTCAAGTGAAGGATGAAAGAAATATGGTGCCGCTGATTTTACGAAATTAAATGCCCAAAACTGCTGCGCTAAATGAGATTCTTTTTTTTTTTTTCTTTTTAAATTTCGCAAGTGCGTTTGGTGCGTAGAATTTTGTGAAGTTTTTCTAAAATAGTTGGGGAAATGGACCTGCGATGTAAAAGCGGGCGGGTCATTAGAATATTAATCATATATATATATAAGTGAATGTTTGTGGGGGTGTCTGTTCCACAAATGTTTTTACATGAATTGATGGATCTTGAACCAAACTTGGCACATATATCCATCATTATCCGGAAGGAACTCTAACGGGGTTATGAACTTTTTATAATTTCCGTTTGGGGCCTGGGGCCCAAAATGTAGTTTTTTCCTATATGATCATTATGAAAATAATTAGAAACAAACACTCCTGCATGAGTAGATGGATATTGAACAAACTTAATACACATGCACTTTATTATCCATATTCAAATACCGAAGAGTACTGAACTCATAATATCCATTTCTCTGGGGCCGGGGGGGGGGGCAGTTCATTTTTCCTATTATAAGCTTTATGAATATCAAAAGTGTTTGACAACGGTTTAGGTTCTATGGGAATTTATGGTTAAGCTTAAATACCGAAGAGTACTGAACTCATAATATCCATTTCTCTGGGGCCGGGGGGGGGGGCAGTTCATTTTTCCTTATATAAGCTTTATGAATATCAAAAGTGTTTGACAACGGTATAGGTTCTATGGGAATTTATGGCTAAGCCTATCTTTGTTCATTACGCTTCTTAGTCCTTATTGAACTATCGGTGGACTTAAATCTAATAATATCCAATCTAGAATTTTCCAGAAAGTTGGATAATTTTAAAAAGCTATATCTATGGCATTTTTAAATCGATTTTAATGGGACAAATTTTAATTCTATAATTTATCTGAATAATTTTTATAGCCCACCCCCTCCCCCCATCTCAGACATAATAAAAAGGTACTTTATTAAATTGGCCCCCATCAGGGCCCCTATATTAATTAAAATATACTATAGTTATAGTAGTACAAATTAGTTGTATAATATTTCGTATTTGAAAAATAATTACTTAGAAAAGTAATTTTTTACAGGTTTCATGGAGAATATTGAATTAAATCTAGAATCTTCCAGAAAGTTCTATTTTGTTCTAAGAGCTTATATAACGTGATCTAAAAGCTTATTCGAACAAAATCGCACTGAGCATGATCCCATTAAGGAATACGATCCTAATGGGGAGCGAGATACATTGGTATACTGGAACCCATCGGTAACGCAATCCCATCGGGTAAAGGGATCAAACCGGGATCGGGATCCTATCGGGAAAAGGGATACAATTGGAAAAGAGAATCCCTAGGTGAAACCAGATCACATAGAAACGGGATCCCATAGAGAACGGGATCGGTAGCCCATCGGGATCCACCAAGATCGGGATCCCATCGGAAAAGAGATATCGACGGGGTCGGGATTCCACCGGGACCTGGATTCCCCTTTTTATCCGGGGCCACAAGAAATTGGGATCCCACCGGGATTGGCATCACATCTTTTAACAGGATTGAGCCTGGATCGGCGTCAAAATGGGATTGGGGTCCCATTTGGGATCGAGGTCTCACCAGGATTGGGGTCCTAATGCAATCCCGGGCTTCGCCGGGGATATCCGCTCGTAGGAAATAAAATAATAAAAAATGCATATAAATTATTTATACGAAAAACTTTGTTTGTGGGAGTTATTTATGTGAATAAACTGTCCAGGTAGTACCACCTGATCCACGTGTCCTCTAATATATCACTATGACTTCAACAACTGCTTTATAAGGGAAACAAACTTTTTAAAAATTCCTTTCAATAACTTGTATGCTCCACTGGTAGACCCCAAAAACAAAACAAAAACGGGTCAAGGAACCGTTATCTCTGGTCCAACTATAACAC